AGTCTCCTGTAGGTCTTTAACACTCCTGAATGACCTCCCACTGTAGTCCCATGGAACTCCTGGAGCAACTGTGGAATGTGAATTGATGTTCTGGGTAACACAAATCTCCCCTGATACAACAATCTCTCCCCTTCCACATAGTATCCTGGATGGTTTCCCTCTCCCTTTAGTAAGTCAGTCCTTATCCTACCTAGTTCCTCATCCCTAGCACTCTCCTCCTTGATGGCCTCCCAATCTACCATCATTGGGACTGATACAGCCAATGTCTGCAGCTCCCCCATACATCGGGACAGGGCATCTGCCGCCTTATTCTCTACCCATGGCCTGTACTGAATCTCAAAATCGTACACTAACAACTTGGACAGCCACCTTTGATGCTCCTCTGTTACCATCCACCGCTCCAACAAGTATTTCAAGCTTCGCTGATCTGTCCTGACAATGAAATATCTCCCAAGCAGGTAGGGCCGCCACTTCTAGATGGCCAACACGATGGCCATTAATTCCCTCTCATAAATTGATTTCATCCTGGCTCTAGTAGTCAACACCTGGCTGAAATAGGCAATAGGCCTCCGACTCTGCATCAGCACTACACCAAGACTGTACCCGGATGCATCGGTCTCCACAATAAAAGTCTGAGTGAAATCTGGCAACGCGAAGACCGGCACCGTAGTCATCGCCTTCTTCAAGCTCTCAAACGCTGATGTGGCTGCCTCCCCCCATAGGAACCCGTCCTTCTTCAACTGCTCAGTAAGCGGCCATGCTATGGAACTATACTCCTTTACGAATCTTCTGTAGCAACCTGTCAGTTCTAAGAATCCCCTCAGCTCCTTCAGATTTTTCGGTACTAGCCACCTTAGCATTGCTTCAATTTTGGACTGATCAGCTGCCACCCCTCGTTTTGAAACTACATGACCCAAGTACTCTACACTGGTTTGTGCAAAGCAACATTTCTTTAAATTAGCCCTCAACTGGTGCTCCTGCAGTACCTCTAACCTTATTAAGTGCTCCCAGTGCTCCTCCTCTGTCATGTTGTAGATCAGGATATCGTCAAAGAACACTAACACAAACCGTCTGAGATAAGGTATGAAAACCCTATTCATCAGGGCCAGGAAAGTCGCTGGAGCGTTGGTGAGACTAAAAGGCATCACCAAAAACTCATAATGGCCTTCATGCGTTCTGAAAGCCGTCTTGTGTACATCCTCCCTCTTCATCCGAATCTGGTGGTAGCCTGATTTCAAGTCTATCTTGCTAAAAATCACAGTCCCACTCAATTCATCTAGGAGCTCGTCGATGACGGGTATAGGAAACTTGTCCGGGACAGTCTTCCTTATTGAGTGCTCTGTAGTCCACACAAAACCGCCATCTGTCATCCTTCTTCTTGACCAACAAAACGGGACTAGAGAAAGGGCTGATACTGGGTCTGATGAATCCTGCCTCTAACATTTCTCTAATCAACCATTCAATCTCATCCTTCTGGAACTGAGGGTAGCGAAAGGGCCGTACGCTGATGGGTGATATCCCCTCCTTCAAAACTATGGCATGCTCCCTCTCTCGGTGCGGTGGTAACCCCTGAGGTAGCCGAAAAACTTCTTGGAACTGCTGAATCAAAGGCTGAATGGAGAGAGGGATGTCCCCTCCTTCCTCCAATCTCACTCCCTCCAAACTATGCAGCTCCACCAAATACCCTCTGCCTGCCGACTGAATGTCCCTCATCATGGTTTTAAGAGAAACTAGAGATTTGGACTTGATTACCACCTTCTTTCCCTCGACCGTCAGCTCCATCGTGAGTGCTCCCCAATTCACCTTGGTGTCCTCCAAAGTTTGCAGTCATTTCATGCCCAAGATGACATTTGTACTCCCCAGCTCCAGCGGAAGGAAATCTTCCTTCACCTATATCCCCTGGATCGTCAGTCGCACTCCTCTGCAAATCCCCTGCCTCTCCATCTTCCCTGTGCCCATCATCACCCCATAACAGCCAGTGTCCACCAATCTCACTCCCAGCTGATCAACGATCTGTGTGGAAATGAAGTTGTGAGTCGCCCCACTATCAATCAGCACCACCACCTCCTTGTCTTCTATCTCTCCCCTCACTTTCAATGTGTGATTTGTAGTGAATCCCACCACTAAGTTCAGGGAAACCTCTGTCAGATCCAAGTGTAGCTTCTCCTCCATCCCCTCCTCTGTCTCTAGCTTACCTCCCTCAGTTTCCTCGTCATCGCAAATGGTGAGAACCTGAAGAATTCGGTCATTGCACCGATTCCCTGGTGTGTACTTCTCATCGCAGCGAAAACACAACCCCTTAGTCCTTTTCTCCTGCATCTCTTTCTCTGTCAGCCGTTTGAAATTTTCGCCACTTCCCCCTCCTGTCCTCTCCCTTAGTGCTTCTCGTGTACTCCCTGGGAAATCGTTTGGGGGCTAGGAATGTAGTCGTCATCTTGTAGGATCCCCCAAAGCTACTGCTACGAGCTCCCCTCTCCAGGTGCTTCTGGTCCTCCACCAGCTATGCCAACTCCATGGCTTCTCCCAAGTCCCGTGGTCGCATCACCCTGACAGCTGCTCTGATCTCCGGTTTAAGGACCTTCATGAAGTTCCCCTCCAACACGGTCTCTGAAAGATGATCCAGCCTGCTCGCAAGGTACTCAAACCTATCGCGGTACTCGGCGACCGTCCCCTCCTGTGTCAGGGCAAAGAACTGCTCGTAGAAGTCTCCTCCCCTACTAGTTCAAAAATGCTCTAGCAGACAGTCCTTGAACTCCCTCCAGCTTCGAATGGGCCGCCTCATGTCCCGCCACTGGTACCAAGCTAATGCTTTCCCTTCCAAACACAGTCCTACCGCTGTCAATTTCTCCTCCTCAGTCAACCCATTGACCGCATAGTATCACTCCATCTTGTAGATCCAGCCATGTGCGTCCTCGCCCTCAAAGATGGGCATCTTCAATTTCCTCACCCTCGGGTCTCCACCGTTTCCCCTAAATCCTCCGTAACCCCCCGCTCCCCAGTGGTCATGACCTTCCCTCCGCCGATCGTACACATGTCCTTCCTCATACTCCTCCCTTCTCCTCTCCTCTTCAGCACCTCGACGGTAGAACTCATCCCTTCTCCCAAAAATTTCAACACCTCTTCTCTCATAGCCCATGCTCATCTCCTCCCTAGAGAGTAGTTCTAGCGGAGGCATTCGGTCATTCCCGTCAAGGATCTCCACTTTCGTAGTGTCCCTCCCCCTCAATGGGTTCGGGTTCCCATATCTCCCATTGTCGCCGGTGGCTTCCCTTGCTTCCGATGTCGTCGGGTTTGGCTTGCCCTCCAACATCTTCTTCATCATTTCCTCCAAGGCCGTGAACCTCCCATCCATCTTTTCATGGATGGATGCGAATTGATTTTGAAATTCAGTGGTTCTTTCTTCCAAATTGGTCTTCAGTTGGCCGATTTCTCCCTCCATAACTTCTACCTTCCTTCCGGCCATCTTTTCTCCCACGGTTGTCGAGAATTCCACTTGTGGAAGACGATTCCTTGCTGAAATTCCAGAATTTTAGCCGCCGATGGCCTCAAGACGATGGTATGATACCAGTTTGATAGGAAAAACTTGATTTCAAGTAGTTCCTAACCAAAGTCTGAAGTAAATCGTAATAATTCCTGCTGTTTACAGCAGGAAAACAGCAAAATCTGGACCAAAACAGAGAAAACCTGAGAGGAAAAAGGAGAAAATTCGCCCAAGCACTTGTACTTTACTAGTAGATGAAAGAAAAATTGCAAAGATACAAAGATCCTCTATTCGAGAGGAGGATCGCACTCTCCCAATCTCTAGAATTCGTCCTAGAGCCCAAGCCTCCAAGAAAATCCTAATTGCAATCAAACAAAACATGCCCAATCCCCTCAAACCTTCCTAATACAAATTCCCTCCCAAAACCTCTTCTCCCCACTCCGTTTGAATATCACCTTCATTCAATTAGTGGGGCCCGCTCCTTTTGAGCAGAACAGGCAGAGGAGGCGGAAGTATTCCGCCTCTTATAAACAAGCGGCCCTTGGGCCAGCTGGTTCTGGACCGGTTCCAAGTGAACCGGTCTAACATATTTGTTTATAATTTTAAATTTAAAAGTATATGTTTAAGCTTTCTACATTAATATATGTATTCATTAACTTTTTTACTCTATTATAGAACATTAGTGGGCTCAAATTAGAAATAAAGATTAATTTATCATTCTACTTTAGAATATATCAGATACAATATTAACTAATATAGAGAGTAAGGAAAAAATATTATAATTGAAGAAGATTTTGAAGATGACAATTAAATAGACTCTAAAAATGATAGAAAAATTTCATATAATGACTCTTCTGAAGAATATCAAAGTGAGGATTAGATCAACATGGATCCTGATCCTTGTGGCATATTTGAGTTTTATGGGAGTGTTTACTTTGAATCTCGTTTTAAAATTTCATGTTATCATAGTATTTAATATTGATATTTATGGTTCATATATTTATGATGATGAATCAAGTAAATATGTTAATAGTTTATTTCATTTTTATCATTTTTATGAATTATCTATAATTTATGACAAGGCATATGCCTTCCCTCGCTCAGGAAAAATGCCTCGACTCCCAATTCACCATTTTAAGCATTGAACTAAATAGTAGAAATCATGAAGAATATAGAAAATACATGCCTATCCTAAAATCAGACAATATTTATCTCTTCCCATGTATGCTTTTTATGATTATATTGGGTAAGTGAATTAAGATGCCAGCACCCACTAATGCAGCATAAGAATAAAGATCTAGCACATAGAAGAAACAATAAACATTAACGATGACTCAAGCACAGCATCACAGCATACACCAAAAGTATTACATCGATAGTTCTCAATTAAAATCAGAAACATTAAGATCATCTAAGCTTCTTTGGATGGTCAACATGCATATTTTCAAGTCATTTTATACAGTCGGAAAAGAAAAACTTAATAAATCCAAAACAGAAAAAATAGGGTACAAAAACATACCTCTAAACCAAGGTCTCAGCCGATGATTCTGAAGCAGTATTACAACGCACCTCACCTTAATTATCTAGACCAGAGAATCAAGAACATAAATCAAGTTAAATCCCATGAGAAATGCACAAAAGCTGGAACTCAAGGACATGGATAGTTAGCGATCAAGAGCACGACTAAAGACAATAGAAAGGGAAACTGCTGATACCAACAAAAACATAAAATTTTTTATTAAAACTTCCCGAGAAGAGAAGCAAATACTTATATATCAGGAAAAATGGAAGATGTCATGGAATATATCCAGTAACATCGATGATCTGATATACAAATAGAATAATCGGAACGGACTAAAGCATGCACCGTGATGAAATTGGAAAACGCCAACCAAAGAAAAACTCAGCAAGCCGAAACCTAAGAACCCTAGATATCACACTAATTCAGAAAAATAAATAAATAAATAAAAACCTAGGCGAATGATCAGCTGACGACGTAAGTGCATTTAGACGCGAGATCTCTCCCTTCCACTTCAAGTCTGGCGACATCGAGAATCAAGAAACTGAAGAGGAATAAAAAAGAATAAAACCTAAATTGCGGCACTAGAATGGAGGTTAAAGACGCTGAAGGAAGAGAAGAATCAAGAAGTCAGAAAAAAAAAAAAAAATCTAGATGGAACAATCCTATCCGCATATGGGTGTCAATTCACCCGATTTGAGGAACGTGTCGGATTTTGATCCATTTGAAAAATTGAATTGAGCCTGGGTCAACCTGCGAATTTTAATTTGACTCAAGCCCTCTTCAGACCTCGCCAGCTGCCCCGCGGGTCGGGTTCGGGTTCGGAAAACCGACCCGTTTGCAAAAACGGGTCGGGTCGGGTCGGGTCGAACAGTGTCGGGTCAATTTCGGGTTGGACCCGAACCCGACCCGTGACCCGTTTTTGACAGGTCTATTTCCTTCTTTCCCTTCGACCTGGCCCTATGCGAAAATTCTTTATTAAAGCAAGTTTGATAAGTTGATATATACCAATCATTTAAGTATTTAAATTAATATTGTGAAAATCGGATTGTATAATAAGTCATAAGAATAAGAGATAAAATTAATAATTGATATGTTATCATGAAATTATTTTGATTGGGCACGAATCTCAATGCAAAATCCAAATCGGAAACTTCAAAAATTAAATTCGAAAGTACCTGAACTCCGATTTCAGCAAACTTACAGTCAAACTGAGTGTCTCGGAAATACAAACCCAACGACACCAAATTCAACCCAATCCGAGCCCAAATGGGTCCGAATCAAGGACCCGAAGCGCTTTTGGAAGGTTCAAACCGCAATTTGAATTACCAAACGATCTCCGATTTTAACGAGCTTATACTCGAATCGAGCGGCTCGACGAGACAAATCCAACGAGCCCAAGATAACTGAATTACGACATCATTAAGGCCTTCAAATGTCCAACGAACGGTGCACGATCGAAGGGTTCCGAACGGTGTATGATCAAAGGATTCAATATCAGCCGTCCATTCAACCACTCCCTGTTCGCCCCTGATCTCACACATATTTACAAGCCATGACACTCCAGAAAAACTATAAATAGAGCCCTCATTCTTCACAAGAAGGACTGAAGTGAAGAGAGAGAAGAAGAAGGAAAGAAGAAAAAAAAGGGGAAAGGGAGAATCCTCTTCCTCGACCACCGCCGAAGTTCGACCTGCCGCCCGAACACATCGGGATTCTGCGTGATATTCGGGAGAACGCAGGAATTCTGCCCAACTTCCACGTGATGTTGAAATTCTTCCCAATTTGCAACATAGTTCCCTCCTGATGTCGAAGCTCCGTCCAAGTGAAGCCGGAGTTCTCCTCTGCCACCAACAGACGTCAGACTTCTACCCGACGTCAGACCTTCACTCTTCTTCCCGCCGCCCGAACACGCCGGGATTCTGCCGGATATTTGGGAGAACGCCAGAATTCTTCCCAACTTCCACGGGATGTGGAAATTCTTCTCAATTAACGACAGAGTTCCCTCATGACGCCAAAACTCCGCCCAAGTGAGGCCGGAGTTCTCCTCTGCCACCAACAAACGTCGGATTTCTATCCGACGTCGCACCTTCACTCTTCGCCAAGTTTCTACTCGAAGCCGAACTTCTACCGGTTATCGGACTTCGCTGGATGTCTACACGAAGATGGGACACCTGACCTTCACTCTTCGCCAAGTTTCTACCCGACGCCGGACTTCTACCGGTTATCGGACTTCGCTGGACGTCTACGCGAAGATGGATTTCTTTTTATTGTTGGACTTCTAGCTGACGCTGTCATTCTGATCTTCGTCGTCAGACTATAGTCTTTCCAACCTCCATCGCCTGCCTACTACGGTTCTCCTGACTTATGTCGCCCACCGAATACAATTCTTTCGACCTCCGTCGCCCGCCGACTACGGTCCTCCTGACTTATGTCGCCCGCCGACTACAGTCTTTCCAACCTCTGTCGCCCGCCGACCACGGTCCTCCTGACTTACGCCCGCCGACTACAGTCTTTCCAACCTCTGTCGCCCGCCGACTACGGTCCTCCTGACTTATGTCGCCCGCCGACTACAGCCCTTCCGACCTCTGTCGCCAGCCGACTACTGTCCTTCTTACTTACGTTGCCCACCGACTACAGTCTTTCCGACCTCCGTCGCCCGTTGACTACGGCCCTCCTGACTTATGTCGCCCACCGACTACAATCTTTCCGACCTCTGTCGCCCGTCGACTACGGTCCTCCTGACTTAAGTCGCCCGCCGACTACAATCCTTCCGACCTTCGTCGCCAGCCAACTACGGTCCTCCTGACTTACATCGCCCACCGACTACAAGCCCTCCGACCTCCGTCGCCTGCCAACTACGGTCCTCCCGACTAAACGAATATGTCAATAGTGATTCTTTGTATTCATATCATATAACATATTCTATAAAATGTACATCAAGCTAAGGCCTTCTCCCAAGGAAGGGTCTCATTTGTAATCGACTGCAATACTAGTGGATTCATTCAAACTGGGCTAGGCCCCGTTGTTTTTCCCCCTTTTCAGGGGTTTTCCACGTAAAAATCTTGGTGTCTCATAAATGCTAGACCCTCTCTCTTATCTGATTGCGTGCCAGATTTTCGTACAACGCTAAGACGATAAACTTTATATTTCTCTACCGCCGCGAATACTCCTGGACGCAACACCACTAATTACCTTTAGCTACTAAAGAGCTTTACCTCAAGCAACATACGTCATGGTTCCGTGGGTAGAGGCCAGGTTCTAGTTAGACCCACGATCTTTATTAAACTAAATATTTTCTAGCTCCCAATGTGAAATTCAATTTGTAACTGGCCTTATCCTTATTTATTTGTGATTGACCTAGTGTCTACTTGTATAAAACTGACTTCTTAAGAACTATCTTTAGTCTAGCAATTGTGGGAAAAAGCTTTGGATTTAGACTTCCACTAATTATGAGTGTAACATTCCCAAAATAGCTAGGAACCAACTCAATGTAATCCAAGCTTGTCAATGGAACACCCTTGATTTCATATGTACTGCTATTGGCAATTCCTTGGTGTGCTTTGCCTCACATGATCACATCTAATGCACATGTTAACAACACTTTTCCTCACTTTGGGGCAGCATGAAGTTGGTTAAACTTAGAAAAGAAGAGAAATCGAAAAAGAAGATTGTTTGCACAGGAAGAACCAAAGAATTTTCAAGCATTATTCCTTATTTTGTTTAGTAATTTTATTTGTTTTGATTTTGGTGCGGGGTTCATTGCATGTTTTCCCGTTTACCATCCGGTATTTGGAATATGTAATGCCTAATAAAGCATTCTGACCTTCGATATTATACCAACTCAGTACTTAACATATAAGACGGTTTTCACGGTTCTCTTGCTGCAAGCTTTCATTGTTTCACATTTGATATTTCCATGAAGCATGGACTAGCTTGGTCTTCATGCTCACAATTGTTCAAACAAGGGAATAATCTGTAATTCTTGAAAGCTTGCTGCATGTTCATCAGAAATAAGTCTTTCTTTCTTGATTTGTTGATGTTATCTCTCAGAAGCATGTTTTATTCTTGCTTTAAAAAAACATTGCAATTTTCAAATATCCAGAGGCATCATTATCTGGAGTCGAACCACTTATGCAGCAGATACAGAGTGAAATTCGTCGTGTGGATGATAGTATATTGGCTGCTGTTCGTCGACAGGTATGCTGCAACCATTCCATCTTTGCTGTTGTTTGCCCAGATGAATTGTTGCTATTTTGTTCCAGCTCTCAATTCCAAATGTGTATTTAATTTATGTATGTTTGTATACACAGAGTAACTCTGGGACAAAAGCCAAGGAGGATCTTGCTGCGGCAACAAATGCTGTTCAGGTTAGTTTTCATCTTGGAGATTGGCTTCTAATAATGGACTAGAACTGGTATTAAATTTTGAGATGGCAATGTATACAAGTAATGATGTATATGATGCTATTAGCATGGTAATTCTTCTCAAGAAGTTGCTATTAAC